AGATTAAGAAAAAAAAAAAAAAAGAGGTGGTTCTATTTAATTTCCTTCCCTGCTTCTGCCCCTTCCGTGATCATTGGAAAAATTGCAGAGTTCCTTAAATGTTTATTTCAATAGTTCCCCCCAGGTAGCTGGAGTTCCTAGATTCAGATTTGGACCCCCTGAAGATATGCCACAAACTAGCTCAAGTCACTCTGATCTTGGTCAGCTTGCATCACAAGGAGGTAAACCATTTCTGTACTTCCTTTTCTGTAGTTGCTACAGTGAAAAACAAATAATACAGTCAGTAAAATTCAATTCTGTTTCAGGTGGTTGTTGAAGTGTGGAAATCTGTGACTTAAATAATTGTCAGCAGAGAGAGACTAACAGAAAGTAAAAATTTTTTTCTTTCAAGCTGCTACATTTCTACTTTTAATGTGGTTTAAAAAGGACAATGTTTCTGTTGGTAGGAGCAACAGGCTTGTGAACCAGAGAAGCTGAAACTTTATGTAGGACAAATTGCCTGCTGGGTCAAGATACTTCATGGAAGGAGAAATTAAATATTGAAGGAATGACCTTTAATTTTACTGTTGATTGTAGCTTTCCTGTAGTAAAACAATAGGAGAAAACAGCAAATGCAAAGAAACCTTTGGGGTGTACCCTTACCTGCTACGAGATGGGCAGGCAGTTTGTCTATGGTCTTTGTTGTCCTGAATCAGTCCCGTTGCCCTTCATCCCTGGCAGCATGGAACAGTACACTAGTCTTTGAAGAAAGCTCACAGCAAAATAATGGCATAAGGATGAAAGCAAAACAAGTAGTAATACTTTCATCAAGGTTTTACCTTTCAATAAATTATAATTAGTTCTGACAGTAAGTCAAAACAACTTAAAATAGCAAAAATTTCCACATTCAAACACAACTTGCTGGATTTCATCAAGTGTACAGAGGGAAGACAGGAGTTAATCTGTTTCTTAGCTGGCTGTTTTAATTGCCACTGAAACTTTGTGTTGCAGGTTTAGGAATGTATGAAACCCCACTTTTCCTTGCTCATGAGGAAGAATCAGGTGGTCGTAGCGTTCCCACAACACCTTTACAAGTAGCAGCACCAGGTAAGTGGCAAGGAATTTGCAGGCCGAAGTAAAGGCTGCGAACCTTGACTTCCCAGAAAAGAATTAGATTATTGTTTTGGTGCTTGTTGCTACGTCAGGAGTATTCCAGTAGCCCTTTCCCCAACCTGCCTCAGATTTCCATAGATTTCCATAGATTTCCTGTAGGAAACTTAAACGAACTCAATGTTTATTAAACTGCATTTCCTGTACAGTGACAGTTTTTACTGAAAGTGCATCAGCGGACGCTTCAGAGCACGCTTCTCAGTCTGTGCCGATGGTTACGACATCTACTGGCAATCTCTCCACCACTACAGAGGCTGGAGCGGGTGATGATGGGGATGAAGTTTTTGCAGAGGCAGAATCTGAAGGGTAAACTGAGTTTTTTGTGTCACTAAGACTTGATGTCATGTTAGTTTTAATGATTTATTTTCATCCAAGTATGCCTGTGATTCCTTTTCAATTTAACCTGTTCAGGCAGGAAGGACAGTTCAAACCAGGAGGTAGTGATACTGTGAAGTAGTACAATCTGATCTTGTCTAAACCCAGAGATTTTCTTCTGATTTAACAAAGCTGATATAAAAGTCAGAAAAAAAAAACAACAACAACAAAAACACAAAACAAAAAAAAACACCACACAATTTCTGTATTTTTTTCAGAATGCAGAGGGCTCTGCAGTAGTCCTACTGATGGTAAAGGCCCCAGTTTGAAGGACTGGGGTTTGCAGAATAAAGGCTAAAGCAGTCCTGTTTGTTAATAGAGAACATCACTCCTTGTTATGAGGCAAGCATATATAACAAAGTCATTCAGTGAAGGCAGTGCAAGTACAAATGATGAATCACAAGGGAGAGGAATAATAAGTTCTTAAGAGTTTGATAGACAAATGATTTTGTCTTCCACTTTGCAAGTGCAATTTTTAATATTTATAAAAATTGCTATATTTTGTATTATAGTCAAATACATGCCAAATCTAAAAAGTTGTCATTTAATGCTGTATTTCACTTTTGGTTTTTATTGGTTGCAGAATAATAAATGGTGTGTAGTTCACAATTTAGGTAAACTTTTACCTACTGATTGCAGGAGGTAGGAGGTTTGGTCATAAGAAAATTAAATGTTACTGCTGCAAGTTAAATATGCCACACAGTTTTCTTGATGCAGCACCAGCTTGGACTGAAATAGTCTGCCAGTGAGTAGACAGAGCATAGGATGGCTATTCTGATACTAAGGTCTCTTACTTGTTTCTGACAAAACCATCTAATCTTTAGTGACTTGGATGTATATCCATAGAGGAACTAAGTGGTTCACAGATCAACCTGTAGTTTGGAACAGGCTTTTTGCTTGATAGCAGAGCAAGGCAATCTGTTGCTAGTAGAGAACAGATAGTTCCCACAGTTTATGAGTTTTAGTTATTATGTTCTAACAGTTCTTATATACTAATCAAGGAAAAGAAAATGTATACCAAAAAGCGAGCTGCATTTAAACTAAATTGGATGTTTGGGGCTTTTTCCAGCTGCTTTTTGCTTTTTATCTTTTGAAAACGGAGTCCAAATAACTTAGGTATTGCACCAGTGAGTGATCTTTAGGTATAGCCCGTCAGTGTGGTCCCTCCGTTCTTCCCCTGTCTAAACATACACACCACCATGTTAGGTTTTTCAGTCATCATTATTAAATAGTTTTTGTGACCTTCTCTGTGAGACGATTAGTATGTTGAATAAGCACCTGGAGTTGGGCTGCATGTCAAGGAAGTTGCATTGTTGTTTTTCTAAAAGCCAGATAAATCTCTCACGATTGAGACAGGGGGGATGTGACAAAATAGAATAAAACTGATGAGAATTTCTGGGGAAAGACACTTGCATATGAATCTTTCTGTTCCAGGATGATGCTTGTTTTCCTGAGCTTTTTGAAACTACGTGAATACACCAACATGTTTTTCTTCCCCCTCCTTGTCTTGTAGAATTACTTCAGAAGCAGGCCTAGAAATTGATAGCCAGCAAGAAGAAGAATCTGTTCAGGCATCTGATGAATCAGATCTTCCTTCAACTAGTCAAGATCCTCCTTCTAGTTCATCTGCAGGTATGGGTTAATTGCTGGAAGCAGTTGTTTTGTACCATTTCATTAAGGGTGGGAACTGGGCCAGCATCATGCACTGCTGATAGCCAAGATATGCAGTATCTTGTGATCTTGCTCTAGGAGTTCTGTCTTGTTTTCATGCCTGTAGTCTTAATGGCAAACAATTGTTACTTGGACTGCAGTAACTAGAACAGGCTGTAGTAAGAAAATGCTTCAAGTAGCAAAAGTTATTCATACTTTGGTGATTCTATCCACTGTTATGTTTGATGTCAGATTTTAAAATACTTTTTCATTCAATTAAATCGTCAACAGTAAGTAAATCACTGAATTATAGCATAGGTGATGAAACAAGTCCTAAACTTTTTTTGAGGCTTTTATTTATATCAGAGAAGATGTCAGTGAAATAAGGATGCACCTTCATAATTTTAAAGTAAATTCAAGAGCGTAATGCATACCAAATCATGTAAACGTTAGCAGTGAGAAACTGTAGTAGACACAGACATGTTTTCCTGCATTTCCACTTCCTCACAGACACAAGCAGTAATCAGCCTAAGCCATTCCGACGTGTCAGACTTCAGCCACCAACATTAAGAACTGGTGTTCGTGGTCGTCAGTTCAACAGACAGAGGGGTGAGTGTTTGTGGTTGCTCAAATTCAGACTTGTTTGAAAAAGTTTTTAGTACTTTCTTCCTGTGGGGACCATGTAAGATGTACTACTTTGTATGTCTGTGTTTGCTTGTAAGACACTGAATAATACAGCATCCCCGCCCTAGCTTTCAGTATGTTACCCTAAGAGATCTCTAGTTTTGTTTTAATATGTTAGTCTGAGCATTTTTTAGATAGGCAAACTTCCTTCTTATGTGGCACTTGGTTCTTACCAATGGAGGTAAATAGCAGTAAGTCATAACTGTCACAAAGTTTTAAAAGAAGATTTAAAAAAATAACATTAGGAGTAAGTTTAGAAATCTTTGTTTTTAACGTTACATATCAGTTTCCCTTTTGGTACATTAAGGGTTCCAGTTATTATATGAGTATGTCTTACACTGATTTAAAAAAAAAAATCAACACAAAAAGTTTGTGGAAGTATTACAGATTTTTGTAATGCAATATAGACTTAAATCACACCAATATACTATTGCTTGCAACTTCTGTATTAAGAAAAATCCTTAAATTAATTGTGTTTGGTTTGGCATTATTTTAACGTTGTAGAAGACTTGATACCAGCATTGAAATATAGGTATCTGGTATTTTAAAGGGGGGAAAATTAAAAAAAACAACGTGAGGAGGTGGACCTTTGATATATTTTCTTTCCAGTCTATCATCATTTCTTTAATAACTCAAGGGAGGGACTAAGTGGTTTCAGGCACGGTGAGAATGGTCTTTGGGCACTGCTGGGATCACAGGTGACCACCACCCTTGTAAAGGGCAGAAGGGCGATGTGTCTGTACCACGGGGCTCTGGGGGGTGGGGGGAGCCAGAATTTTATGAGAAAGGAAGTGCTCCACTGCAGTAGCAATTCCTTACCGAAGGATGAACATGTACCAGTGGTTGATTAAAAGGGTGAAAAGGATTGATATTAATGCATTTGTTTTCTTTCCCAATGCAGGTGTAACTCATGCAATGGGAGGCAGAGGAGGACTGAACAGAGGGAATATTAGTTAAGGAATTACAGCTGTGTATACGGAAGTGCCAGTTTGCCTGTGGTTGCTTTAGTGTAATGAAGCCAGAGCTTAAAGCTGCATTTTATACTTAGATTTGTGTGCACACATTTCAATGTCTTTATTAATAAAATTAGACAAAATGTCAACATCCAAATGGCATCTTTTTTTAAACCCCTCTGCTGTGCATCACTTGCTAGGACAGTTGTACCAATCTTTGGATACAGTCTTCCCTGTGAGAGCGGTAACAGGTCTTGCTATTCTTTTGCCAACATCCAAGCTGTAGTACCGGTCTGAAATGAAGACATGTCAGAATTAAATTCCAGAAACTACATTTAGTACACAGAAAGGATCTTGAAGTTAAAGCCTTCCTTTTAATTTCATTTAGACGTGAATAACAGGTTTTTCATTCCACATTAAATAGATGGAGTTCAGAGGGTATAACAATGAATTTTTGTCCTCAATTTTTTACATGTCCTTTGTGTTTAGCTAAATTTTAGAGTACTGCTAATAAATATGTCCCAAGAAGAGGGATGAGGGAGGAATACTCTCATACTGCTAGAACACAGAATAGTTTTAAGAAATTGGAAATCAAACAAGCTGGAAATAAAGCAATCCCACACTGACTACAAAAGCAGGAACTCTGTGGTCCCCAAGTGTGAGTTGGTCTCTGTTAAGGTTAGGAATTAGATCATACTGGCAGAGACTTACTTGAGTATCCTGTGTTTGGGTATAGCTAGTTCCTAGAGCGTTGGTTTTTTTTTTTCTGAATAATCCAAAAAATTCTGAGGAACGCTTTTACATGATCCTGGCTAGAGGGAAAGGATCTACCAAATCTGGAATAATAATTTTTTTTCCCGTGAAGCAAAATGGTTCATGTCCCACCCTTTTCTGTTTTGTCAGAAACGTAGTTCCATGGAAGCCGATGAAAAAGCTATCTGTATAGTGGTCCAAGGATTTCAGTCTATCACTAATGTAATACTGCATTTAAGTGTCAGGTTTTTTGTCGCTTTATAAGCCTGAACTCATGGCAATGCATTCAGCAACTGGCTAGTTGGAATCATTGTACCTTCTTGCTGCTAGTTGTCCTGTAACTTGATTTTTTTTTTTTTTTTTTTTTTAAATAGAATCATCTCAATTACAGGCAACACTTTAATTCTCAGGACTTTTCAGTAGTGCTTAAAATTAGTCTTGCAGAACCACAAGCAGTAACCTCATGCTTTGGAAAGCTGCGAGATAACATGGACTACTTTCTTCCCTACCCGCTAGTGTCTTGAGATAGATAGATCGATAGGTAGGAACTTGCATTAGCTCTCACTTACTGTAAGAGAAGGCGTAATAATCATAGCCATCTGGCTTATTGTAGTTGGGTAGTGAGATAGTCGAATGAATAACTTTTGGGAGCCCTTTCCAGTAGGCAGTCATTTTGATTTCCTTACGCAAAACTCCTGCAAGCAAAAGAAAACTTAAATTAGCAGGTATTGCGGTGTGTCTGCTGTAAGGTATTTGCTTGTATAATTTACAGCAAGCGGGATCTACTGGATTAAAAAGTACTTTATTTAAAAAAAAAAAAAATGGAACAGAATGTTGTGTTTCAGAAACTATTATGATTGAAACAGTTGTATAAAAGAAATTTAATAAACATAAGTTACCAGATGGATATGGGTTGATTCTGACAGTCTGAATAATGGTTGGCATTCTTACTGCACGTTGAAAGCGTCTCCTTATTACAAGTCTTGGGACATAAACTGGGTATCTTATGGTAACGTGGGTTCTCCTTTGACACTTCTTGGCTGGTTCTTGTCTGTACACGTACTGTTGCATGTTGCCATCTGAAACACATTTGTTTCATTTGGTTAAAATAACCCTAAAGTCATCACCAAACCACCAGCTCAATGAGAAAAGAAAACTTCATTGATACCCGTGTTACACCCAGGAAATCAATAGCATCATTTTAATACATCTACAACTCTGGCAGCCTTCAGCTTTTTCTATCTGTTCCTACATTTTGAGATGTAAAAAAGCCTTGCTCTCTAAATCCAACATGCTTTTAGATGTAGTGATACCTTCTGCAGGCTCGTTACAGTTACAGTACTACGCACACGTCCAGGGGATCTGCTTTTGCTGCCATCGTTCCTCTTTATCAAGGAGAGGGTGAGAGCGTCATTTTAGGCTGCGTGAGAAGAGGGCTAGTGTCCAGGAAAGGATTTGCAATTTGTTAGCCTCTGCTTTTTAAATTTGGGTAACAATTCTTATGGTGGCAGTACATCATTCATAAAGTGAGGAAATTAATTTAAAATATGAAATAGGGAGATTTCCATATGTAGTTATGAACTACCTACCTACCCTTCTCTAATTAACTTGAGACTAAAATAGGTCTACCACCAGATAAAACTTAATGCTTGTCTGCTACGCTGCTGGATTCTGCCCCTTACAGTCCTTTCTATTTTAAAATGCACTTAAAGATCTGTAACTACTAACACAAATTTTTAAAGCTTCAGGCTACTTTTTGACCACCTAGCACCCTCTGACATCACTTGTGTTTCTATTTTTGAAAGAAATGCATCTTTCAGTCAAGAAGGTTGTTTTATTCCTAAGGCAATTCAAGCACCTTTTGATCATCTGTGAACTTATGAAATAGGAGACATACCTTTTTTGATAAAATAAACAGATTCTGGTCTGTTGTTGTATCTTGCCACGGGGAGGGTTGCTACTATTTTCCCACTTAGCCCTGCAAATCCATTCGCAAGAGGTTTGGGATAGCCTTTATCCATAACACCGTTAGTGAAACGCCAGTATAGGGGACCCTGATGATTTAAAGAAAAAAGGAACTTTAGAGGAAATTCATTCTTGGTAATTGAGCTTCAGCACAGACTTGAAAAATAATCATAACCCTAGCATTTTGATAACTGTATTGTAAAACTGACTGGAACCACTTCTACATACATTAAAAACAGGAAAAAAATATTACAACTTCATAAAATGCTTTCAGCAGTCTTTTAACAATGCCTTTGAGTAAAGGTAGAGTGTCTTAGAAACGAACTGTTAAGAGTGGTTAGTGAACAAGGCAGTTTGCTTTCTACATCTCTAAATTTTCACAGTTAGGAGAAACCACTTGAATTCCAGGACTGAATGATTAATTGGGAAAAAATTGTATAATGTCTTTAATGAAGCGTGTGCATTTTGTTATCATCTTTCAGGAAGGGAAATGTATTAGGAACAAATTTAGGCCATATTTGGGCAAGGGAAAGACATGATAAAATACTTATATTTTAAAGAGTTGAATTTTTTTTGAAGTGTGGCTCATAAGTAAAAGTTACTCAATGATCAGTTATTCTGTCAATGCTTTGTCTCCTAGCCAATTACAGGGGGAAAAACACTGAATTGAGGTTTTTCCTGATAAGTACCCTTGCAAGGCAGACGAGGAGTGGGCGGGGAAGAGACACTTAACTTCACCCACAGAGTTTTAAACCCACCACACTGTTTGAAAACGCCATTTGTTCCGTAAAACATGGCCCCAGTGCAACGCAAGGCTCCACTTCTGCGGGGCTGCATTTCAAAACCCGCACCCTTTTTTTCATAAAGCCCCCGTGCCCTCCCGGCTGCCTCCCACGCTCGCTCCCCACCTTGACGAAGAAGGTCTTGCCATCGCAGTTGCACCTGGAGAAGACGGCGTCGATGGGGGACGGGATGCCCCAGCCGTCGCTGATCTGGCGGGGGCTGGTGGTCGGCGGGCTCCTGCCGTTCAGCAGCCAGTAGTAGTGACCTGAGCGGCGGGAGGAGAGACGGTGAAACGTGGGTGGGCCGACAGACAGACAGACAGACTCAGGGGGAAAGGTGCTGGAAAGGAGGACCTCCCCCCTCCCCTCTTCCCTCGCTCCTGCCCTCAGGGTGCGGCTGAGGGGGCAAGGTGGCTCCCGCCTTGCACCGTTCGTGAGGGCCTCGGAGCGTTGGAGGGAGTCGGGTGGTCGGGTTTGAAGAGGAGGAGGATGAGGAGGAGGCAGAGGAGGAGGAAGAGGAGGAGGAGGAGGGCCAGGGCTGGCCTACCTCGGAAGACAGCCAGGGTGCCATTCGGCAGGGCCACCATGCCGTCCGCCGGCTTCCCGCTGCACAGGTCCTTCTCGTCCTTCTTTGCTGAAAAACACAGTGGCTCAGGTTTGCTTAACGTTCAACACAAATTGCGTTACCTCCCCAGCCCGGTGCCAGTAGCACTGTGGCTGTTAAATGTGATCGCTTGTGCTGGGTGACGTTCAAGGCCCTCTGCCACTCAGGCCTCCGCCTGGCACTTGTCCTGCAAAGGGTTTAGTTACTCATTTGAGACATATTCTTGGAAAGGTTGGCTGTCATGTTCTGCTCCCAGGAGTGCCAGACCAGCCGTTTACATGACTAGGTATGGATATCTTTGCTCATTGCTTACCAAAGTACCCGTAATTCAGAAAAAGACCTATAAATGCATTGTATGCTACATCCCGCATTTAATTTATTCATGTTCTGGGATGTTTACTTGATGTTTCTCCAAGCTGCTCTAGTGGGTTCCCTTCCCCCTCCTTATTTCTTAAAAAATACTTTACATTTACTTTCACTTAAATATAAAGGAAGGATGAATCCGTTTTGCACAAATACCCAAGTAATTTCTGTGAAAAATCCTTTTTTATCCCCTCCAGAATGTCTGTCAATATATGATTGAACAAAATGCCCAAGAACCTGCAGGCTATATCTGAATAAAACAGATAGTGAGGACGTGAAAAGTGTGGCAAAAAACATGGAGGAAAGAGTAATGCAAGAAAAAGAGTTGTCTCTTATGTGATATTTTTTGTGTGTGACTACAGAATCCCAGGTTAGGTATGAGTAACTGGATATTCAGCCTGACTCCCTAGCAAAATTTTCATGGGACTTAGAAATTTATCTTCTTTTTCCTTGACTTTTTCCTGTTTTCATCTTCTACAGTATTTACAACAAATGTTTTTCAGCAGTATCAATTACTGAAATAAGATCACGCTCTAAACTACGTGGAGAATTTCATTAACACCACACCTGAAAACTGAGATATCAGTATTCAGGAGGCTGGTAGCTGTAGCACCATGGTTATGGCTGACCACTGGGACAGGAGTGCCATGTTCTTGTGACACAATATAGAAAGGTCTTACGTGTCATTTGCTCACATGTTTTGTTGTGCTCTCTAGTGGAGTTATTGGTGCTTTTGTACCTACTGGAATGCAATTACCTTGTGTCTCTCCAGTTAAAATTGGCAAGTCTGCAGGTTGTATTAAAGGCTTGTTGTTGATCTCAGGCTCTTCTTTTACTGGCAGAGTTCCAGGGTCAGCTGGATGAGGCTCATCTCTTGTGTCAGTAACCTCCTGAAAATGTATGGTTGGCTTGGATGTCCCATTGGAAACAATAAACATTTCTTCTATTGTGTCTTTTTTATCTCTTGTAGTGGTCTCTTTGGTAACTGTAGTTTCCCCTCCTTTGTCAATATGAGTGACCTTTTCAATGGCATCTTCCATTTCTTTTTCAGGTGTGATGCTAGTTTCCTTGATGGTCGTTACCTCTTTTTTACCAGCTGTTGTTGTCTCTACAACACAAGTAGTACTTGTGCTCTCTTTAGCTGCTGCTGTTACAGCCAGCTTACTTTCCATAGTTGTGTCTTTTTTATTTGTTGTTAAAATTTCCCTGGGCTTAGGAGTTGAATCTGGTTTGGCAGCTGTCAACACAGTGGGCTTGGTGGAGGAAGTTATAGCTGTTGTGGCTGCTGTTGTTACAGTTGCTATTCCCACGGGGCTTTCTTTTTTAGCTGTTAAAGTCTCTTTCGGTATGGGAGTCTTGTCTTGTTTAGCTGGGGTAGTTTCTTTTTCTGGAGCTGTTGTTTCACTCTTTTTGTCTGTAGTAGTTGCTTCTGATTCAGCTGCTGTAGTGACAGCTGGCTTGGTTGTAGGAGTTGTATTTGGAATATCATCCTTACCTTTGGGAGAGTCATCTGGTTTAGCTGTTATCACTGCATTTACAGTAGTTGTGTCTTTCCTGCTTGTTGCTGTTAAAATGTCTTTAAGCACAGTAGTTTTGTCTTTCTTGGGTGTCGTTATCACTTTGTTCACTGTGGTTGTTTCTATTTTAGTTGTTTCTTTGGTTATAGGAGTCATAATGGCTTTAGCTGTTGTTTTGTCTCTTTTGTCAGCTGTTGTTACAATCTCGGTAGTACTAGCTTCTGTCACCACTATCCTTTGTACTGCGGTAGTCGTGTCTTTTGCAGTTGTGCTGGTTGCCTCTTTGGATACAGGAGTTGTGATTTTCTCTTCTGCTGTTGTTTCACTAACCATAGTGTCAGCTTCAGGTATGGGTGTTTCCTTCCTACTTCTTGTGACTGGCTCACTGCTTTGAGTGGTTGTGTCTTTCTTAGCAGTTGTTACTAATCCAGGGACAGTAGTTGTTGGTTCAATAGGTGTTGTTTTTCGTATGGCAGCGGTGTCAGCCTCAGGGGTAGGCCCTTTGACCATAGGGGTGGTGGGAGATTCTGCTTCTGTCTCCTCCACTTTAGGGGTAGTAGGAGAGTCAGCCTTGGTTGTTGGTGCCTCTGGGGTTGTGTCTTCAGGTTTGGGGGTGGTAGGAGACTCTGGCTTGGTTGTCGGTGCCTCTGGGGTTGTATCTTCAGGTTTGGGGGTGGTGGGAGATGCAGCCTTGGTTGTTGGTGCCTCTGGGGTTGTGTCTTCAGGTTTGGGGGTGGTGGGAGATTCAGCCTTGGTTGTTGGTGCCTCTGGGGTTGTGTCTTCAGGTTTGGGGGTGGTGGGAGAGTCAGTCTTGGTTGTTGGTGCCTCTGGGGTTGTGTCTTCAGGTTTGGGGGTGGTGGGAGAGTCAGTCTTGGTTGTTGGTGCCTCTGGGGTTGTATCTTCAGGTTTGGGGGTGGTGGGAGAGTCTGGCTTGGTTGTTGGTGCCTCTGGGGTTGTGTCTTCAGGTTTGGGGGTGGTGGGAGATTCAGCCTTGGTTGTTGGTGCCTCTGGGGTTGTGTCTTCAGGTTTGGGGGTGGTGGGAGACTCTGGCTTGGTTGTTGGTGCCTCTGTGGCCTCTGGGGTTGTGTCTTCAGGTTTGGGGGTGGTGGGAGAGTCTGGCTTGGTTGTCGGTGCCTCTGTGGCCTCTGGGGTTGTGTCTTCAGGTTTGGGGGTGGTTGGAGAGTCTTCCTCGGTCATTGTTGCCTCTGTGGCCTCTGGGGTTGTGTCTTCAGGTTTGGGGGTGGTGGGAGATTCAGCCTTGGTTGTTGGTGCCTCTGGGGTTGTGTCTTCAGGTTTGGGGGTGGTGGGAGAGTCAGGCTTGGTTGTTGGTGCCTCTGTGGCCTCTGGGGTTGTGTCTTCAGGTTTGGGGGTGGTTGGAGAGTCTTCCTTGGTCATTGGTGCCTCTGTGGCCTCTGGGGTTGTGTCTTCAGGTTTGGGGGTGGTGGGAGATTCAGCCTTGGTTGTTGGTGCCTCTGTGGTCTCTGGGGTTGTGTCTTCAGGTTTGGGGGTGGTGGGAGATTCAGCCTTGGTTGTTGGTGCCTCTGGGGTCGTGTCTTCAGGTTTGGGGGTGGTGGGAGACTCTGGCTTGGTTGTTTGTGCCTCTGTGGCCTCTGGAGTTGTGTCTTCAGGTTCAGGTGTGGTGGGAGACTCTGCTTCAGTTGTTGGTGCCTCTGTGGCCTCTGGGGTTGTGTCTTCAGGTTTGGGGGTGGTGGGAGACTCTGGCTTGGTCGTTGGTGCCTCTGTGGCCTCTGGGGTTGTGTCTTCAGGTTTAGGGGTGGTGGGAGAGTCTGGCTTGGTCGTTGGTGCCTCTGTGGCCTCTGGGTTTGTGTCTTCAGATTTGGGGCTGGTGGGAGTCTCTGCTTCAGTCGTTGGTGCCTCTGTGGCCTCTGGGGCTGTGTCTTCAGATTTGGGGCTGGTGGGAGACTCTGCTTCAGTCGTTGGTGCCTCTGTGGCCTCTGGGGTTGTGTCTTCAGGTTTGGGGGTGGTGGGAGAGTCTGCTTCAGTTATTGCTTCCTCCGTGGCCTCAGGGGTCATATCTTCAACCATAGGCATCGTGGGAGAGTCTGATTCAGTCATTGGTGCCTCTGTGGCCTCTGGGGTTGTGTCTTCAGGTTTGGGGGTGGTGGGAGAGTTTGGCTTGGTCGTTGGTGCCTCTGTGGCCTCTGGGGTTGTGTCTTCAGGTTTGGGGGTGGTGGGAGAGTCAGGCTTGGTCGTTGGTGCCTCTGTGGCCTCTGGGGTTGTGTCTTCAGGTTTGGGGGTGGTGGGAGATTCAGCCTTGGTTGTTGGTGCCTCTGTGGCCTCTGGGGTTGTGTCTTCAGATTTGGGGCTGGTGGGAGACTCTGCTTCAGTCGTTGGTGCCTCTGTGGCCTCTGGGGTTGTGTCTTCAGGTTTGGGGGTGGTGGGAGATTCAGCCTTGGTTGTTGGTGCCTCTGGGGTCGTGTCTTCAGGTTTGGGGGTGGTGGGAGACTCTGGCTTGGTTGTTGGTGCCTCTGTGGCCTCTGGGGTTGTGTCTTCAGGTTTGGGGGTGGTGGGAGATTCAGCCTTGGTTGTTGGTGCCTCTGGGGTTGTGTCTTCGGGTTTGGGGGTGGTGGGAGACTCTGGCTTGGTTGTTGGTGCCTCTGGGGTTGTGTCTTCAGGTTTGGGGGTGGTGGGAGAGTTTGGCTTGGTCGTTGGTGCCTCTGGGGTTGTGTCTTCAGGTTTGGGGGTGGTGGGAGATTCTGCCTTGGTTGTTGGTGATGATGTTGTTGCAGGGGTCTCTTTCTCAGCCGTAGTGGTCTCTTTGGTAGTTGTTGCTTCTGTGGTAGTACTCATCATAGTTGGTAAACTTGGTTTTGGACCAGATGTAGTTGCTTTGGTTGTTGTTTTTGTGTCAGAGTGTTTTGTAGTTGGAGCAGGACTGGTCACTTTGTTTTCCAGTTCGCTGCCATTATCTATGGGAACAAATATATATTAAGATACTGGAATTTCATTGCCACTGTATATTAAATTACAATGCAGATTAGAAATAGCTGTTTATCTTTTGAATAGCAAGTTGGTTTTATGATCTTTGCTCTAAATGCTTTCTTTGTAAGATTGCACTTAATTAGCTTGAAATTGTTGATACATTTATTTAAACAGGAGAAAAAAAAAGTTATGTGAAACCTGACATAAATTGATAAATGCCACTTTATGGACTTAGGTACCTGTCAAAAGATAAACCATTTAGAAGAGGAAAACTAACCTGAAGTGGGTTAAATTTGAATTCCTTTTTTCTGCGTGGGACTTTGCAGCAGCTCATCTAAATTTTAAGTAAACCTTTTGGCTAACTTACTGCAACTCTGAGTACAGCATGGCATATTTTACTTTGGTGTTTGAAGGTGAGGCCAATTGGTATTTCCACCCTTTTTCATGGAAGGGGAACCACACTATAAAATATAGTCCTTCTGATGAGACACTTCTCAGTTTGTTCTTTAGATTTATTCCTCTGACCTTAATTATAACATAACCTGCACCAATGGCCTGGACTTGAAGGAGAGAGGTAGGAAAATGGGAGGAAAATAAACTTTCTGAATGCAGACACCTGACAGCATTTCCTACTGTATCTTTACATCTTGAATGGTTTTTCTCTTTGTGATTTATGGCTTTAAGACTCTCTTTACTTGTATATATAATTACATTGACCTGAGTCAAATTGTTAATAAACCTATATTTAGTAAAAAGTAACAGCAAATGCTTCTGCATTTTAATCTCTTACTAAGTGTTATCTCTCTGAAGTTTTGCAATTTAGTTCTGTTTTCACATATGTCCTGTGGTGGTTTTTTTTTTTTTTAATTCTATGATCCCTGCTGTGTTGCCCTGTTCCAGTACAACTGAATTGGCATTTGTTTCTTCAAAACCTGAAGAAAATCAAGTGCAGCATCATGTGTTTTGTGACGTTGTTGTTCAGATTTTCTATAAATCTAAAAATATAAAAAGATCTGAGCTATTGTTGATGGTCACCGTCTGGTGACTGTTAGTGGCACTGATGCAGTGACTCTCCCAGCAGACTGAAAGAACTTGTAATACTGCAGTGTGAGAAATAATCCCTGTGTAAATGTATAGTAGAAAAGGTGCAGTATGAGCAGATTTTTACAGAATAGGTTTTCCCGCCATCCAGTTTGTTTGAAATGCCATAAGCCAAGTAGGGTTCTGTTGATGGTTATTTGAATTTCCTTAATTTTGTTTCCCTTAACCCACTATATTGATTTTTCTGTAATAGGAAATTGCCACAGCAGAAAATTAAGTACTCTTTTTTCTTTTTTTTTTTTTTTTTTTTTGTAAGTAAGGGTTAAAATATTGGCCAAAATTGACTTCTAGTCTCATTTCATTCTTGTTACTTCAATTTTCAACTTCAAAATGATCTCCTGAATTATCACTTAAAATGCTGGAACAGAATAACAAAGAACACATGAAAGCAAAGTATTTTCCATTGAGATAAAATAGATTATGTGTTTTCTGAAGCTGCATGAGTCCTGGATTGATTAAAGCTAGAGAAACCTGCTAGGAGATTTTCCTGTCTTGTTCCTGCCAATTCATCACTGTCCCAAAATACAACACCCTTCCTGTTCCAGCAATGGACATTGTCCAAAACTGACACCGGTGTGTAACATATTTTTGGAAGATACGTGTGAAAATCCAGTGTAGACACAGGAGACATCGCCACCCTCCAACATCTGTGCTAAGTGTACTCTCCAAAATCAGTATCCTGAGGTCTAGGTGAGGTAATTAGTTTATAAACTGAGCGGTTCCAAGCTTGGTAACTGTCTGGTAATGTCTCGCATCAGCTTTCTATTTTCAAAGCAGGAAAATGGTCTTTAATGTTTCCTTCAGGTAACACCCATCCTGTTTCATTCGTATACTTTCCTACCTTCCATAACTTCATGGGGCTGCGTTACTTCCTCTGGCTTCTTTTCCTCATTTTTGGATGACCTTTTAGATGTTGGTTTGTTTGCTGGAGGAGTCTTTGGTGATGGCTTTTCTGCATGTGCTGAAAGAAATAAAATAATCTGTGAATTGGGAGTATTTTTCTTTATAGGTGCTTGGTGTCATCTGTATAAGAAGAAAGTGATTGCAAAATTTCAGTTACCATCTTCCATATAAATCTACACTTCTTGCTACCTGTAAGATTTTTTACAATATTATTCAAGGGAAAAAGAGCAAATATATCCTTTGCATCCCCAAGTGTTTCATCACAGATGGGAGAAGTGTTTTTCCCAGAAGCTGGAGGTGAGGCATTCTTTGCTAATGGCAATTTTGAGGTGGGAAAAAGATTAATTCTGAGTGGAGTTCTATGTTCTGAAAATTTGTCTAATTTTTTTGTCATCTCGTTCTTCTGACTACAGATGACTTGGGACTAACTCACTATAATGGATCTCTGAGAGCTATCATATTAGCCAAGCATTTACTTTCATAATCCCCTGAAGTTTTAGTTATATTGTAGTTCTTCAGACATGATAATTCTACATAAGTGATCATTTTGGGGAGACATCTTAAAAGCAATAGTTTCCTTGAAAAAGACAGGAGTGACAAAGTAGACAGGGACCAAAGAAACAACACAAGATCTAAGTATTAAGCTAACTTCCAGCAGGCTAAGTTTTAGGTGAAACTAGAAGTTTCTGTTCAGCTTTTCCAACTCTGAAGATTGCATGGAATTTCACTTGCATCCAGTAAGAGCCAGAAGATACTTTTTAATTCATTCTTGGGTCAGACTGTACAATTGGAAGTAAGACCCTCTTTTCCCATCAACATAGCCTTGTAAAAGGATCTTGTTAGTTGTGAAAAAAGCATGATGGAGCTCAGGGAACCTGCAGAAATCTTTGATCCAACTGAAGGACCCAGTAGGTGCCATAAGTATGTGTAATCAGCTTTTTACAAAAGAGCAGTGTTTTTGTCTCATAAGATGATGACCGTGGTATCAAAGGATTTACTTTCATAGCAAGCTAGTACTCAAAGTAAGTAAGGTTGGGGGTTGGATTATATTCTGATGCTTTTATTGAGAAAGAGAGAGTAATTGTAATTGTTGAATAAAATCACTTTGGGAGGTGAGTCACCTTTCAGAAGAGTCAGTAGTGGTGGGGGGTGTGTGTGGAATGTTTGATCAGTCCTTACCTGTGCGTGTGTGTGTATTCAGGGATATAGGGCTTCTGGAGGATAAGAAAGGTAAAAATGATCTCTTGATATACATCGCAAACTTAGCTTCACTGTACAGAACAAAGTGTTCAGAAGATGCATAAACAGCACAATTATTCCAAGAGGTTTAACAGGTTGCTCAGTTACTTACACATAACAAAAAACTAAAATACTGAGTACAGTGGTAGGATGGGTTCTGGGGATTTTTTTGTTGGGTTTTTTTGACAAAAACTAATATCAAATCTAAGTAACTAAAATACTAGAAGAAACTCTCTAAAATTATGAGCAGTTGGTTAACTTTTCTTTATATTTGAACTGAAGAGCAAGTGAAATGGCTAACTAACTCTTGTAAGTGTTCATGCATGCTAAACTCAGCAGCAAGAGGAAGCAGCAAGTTCACCCCAAGATACTTCCAAGATATTTATCCTCCTCTAGACATAGAGTCAAAAATTGCTGAATACAGAGTCTATTTCAGTATAAATTATTGTGGAACGGAGTGGCAAACCCAAGCTGTTATACCAGCACTTGGGGACTGGGAGTGGTTGGTAAAGTGAACCAAATGATAATCCATAACTCATCTTGTTTGTTAAACTGCACGCTTTGGAAGTTGGCTGCCTTGCAGGTTGTCTGGTCTGTGAATGCAGCAACTCAGTGCCAAGTTATATTTGCCAAGTGTGTTCACAGAAATGAATTTAGGTCCACAAGTATCAGAAAAATTAAGGACAGGATGAAACTATACATAATCTGTCAGTGTTTTCTAGACTAGAATTCAATCGATAGTGTTATGAAAGCTACATGAAGGTGAAACTGTACCTCCAGATCTGTGCCCTTGTGCTCAACTAACAAAAGCCTATCAGGTTCTGCAGTGAAGGACAAAATAAACAAAAGTGACTGTGGGTCAGTGTAATTCTCCCCTGAACTGAATTTGCAGCCTGTCCGGGGTTTGAGTGAGTGGTGGGGTTTTTTGGTAGCAGGGGAGGGGGCTATAGGGGTTGCCAACCCAGCTCAAACCACAACACAGCCTAAAGGTTAAATGTGCATTTTCTTGAAATTCCTCTTGCTGCAGTGTGAATGTGTAACCACTTCTAACCAGGCAGATCCTGCAGTTCCTCCCACATGCCCCAGAGGTTGGGTTTCTGTGTTGGACTTCTCTTCCCATCTTGGATTTGAGGTGGGGGAGGATGTAGGACATCTGTCTCTATATGCTGCCAGTGATGGCAGTAACCCAAAGCAAGTAGTCTGGAGCTTTAAGTAGTGTTATCCCAAGGCACGGAGTAGATATTCTCCACTTTTGGATGGGTGGCAAGTTTAAGAAAGTTGGACCTTCCTTCATTACTACTTTTTTTGTAAGATGAACTAGGATTTCTATTGCAATGTGTCTTTCGTTCTTGTCCTGGTTTGGGCTGAAATAGAGTTAATATTCCTTTTTGGGAACTAGAATAGTGCTGTGTTTTGGATTTAGCTTTGGGTTTGGTATGAGAAGAATGCTGATAGCATACTGATGTTTTCAGCTGTTGTTGAGATTTCAAGGGCTCTACGATTCCCCATGTTCTGCCCGTGCGCAGGTGCACAGGAGGCAGGGAGGGAGCACTGCCAGAGCACCAGACCCAAATTGGCCAATGAAACATTCCATGTCATGGCACGTCATGCTCACTGTATAGAGGAGGGGTGGTTGGGAAGGAGCTCTCTCGCTTCCGGGATTGCGATTGCGGGATCTTGGTATCTCGGGGTCGCTGGCCGGGAACAGGCTGGGGATTGGTCAGCGGGTGGTGAGCAATTACATTGTGGCTTGCCTGTTTATATTTTTTTTCTATTACTGTCATTGTTTTTATTTTATTACCATTATTAAACTGTGCCTATCTCAGCCTGCGAGTCTCCCTTTATTTACTCTTCCAATTCCCTCCCCCATTCCCATGTTGGTGGGGGAAGGGTGGGTGACCGGCTGCAATGGTTGGCTGCCGACCAGGCTCAAACCACAACAATTCTCCCAAGCTTCTGTCCTTGAATTCTATTGCTGATGTAACTTAAGTAGCATAAGTGGAAGTGCACATGCAAAACCTGGCCTTACACAAATATTAATCTGGGTGACAATTCTGATAGTAAATTAGAGTATGGCTAGTACCAAAAGAGGCTAACACAAAATAAAACTTTATCCTCAGAATTCATCTCTTGGTGATGGCTTTCGGTGTATCTACCTGTATGTGTCAAGAAGCTGTTCATGCTTGAGAAAATGGCCATTTTATTTTTAAAATCAGATTTCTGTTAATCAGATTTCTGTTATTCTTGTTTTGGTTTCTTTTGTCTAGTAGTTAACTTCTTGTGTCCTAAGAAGCTTGCACAGTGAATGTTTTATGATAATGCAAAGTATCTCTGTTTAAATATATCCAGGAAAAATACAGTGACAAAGAAATTTCTTACCCTCTTTACAGTGTTCCGTGTAGTCTGGGCAGCATTTGCCATATCTTTCACAGTCTGCATCACAGTCACACTCTCTTCCTCTTTCAAAGATTTCAAAGCAACGTCCTCTGCAGGAGACTTCTGCATAAGGCACAAGAGCATTAGTATTTTTGGCTAGCTCACATTTAATGCTGGGACCTCTCTATAGTGAAGTCATTTGCTTAAGCTGATGTAAAGAACAGCTTCACAAAATCAGGTGGTTATTCTGGTCTGATCTAGAACTTGTTTGTGTAATTGCATGTTTTAGATCAGGCCATACAACCAGAGCTGTATTTTGCCATTGCAGTATATTGAGACCATTTAGAACTTACAGTTAAAGCATTCACTTTAGCTAGGTCCCATCATAGAAGGTTTTGGTTTCCTTAATGAAATAGCAGTTGTGTCAAGAATGCTATTTAAATTCTGGGTTGGGTTTTCAAAAGGTATTCATCAATGTACCACTTTGTATCAGGAGTGATGTGTCTACCAAAGCATTTCTGAAAAGTAATTTGCCTAAAGGTCCACCTGATGTCTCTGGGCAAATACTGCAACTTCATTGTGTAAATGAGTTAACAGTTACACAGAGTAACTATTTCTGAAAAGTTATCCTAGTCTATTTAATACAGTTTTTTAATTATTAGTACTCAAGGAGTATCTACCATGTTTTGACATGATTAATAACCACATGCTTGTAATATTTCATTATTGGTTAACTTCTGACAACTTCAGTCACTACAGAAACACTTCTGTTTCATATCAAATAATGACCAAATTGTTCTGGAAAGTGCATGCACAGCTATTGGAGACTTCAGCAAAATATGTTTGCTGTATTTTTCAAGAACAAAATTTGACCCTGAACATTCACATCACATTTACATTTATTAACATTCAGTAGTACCTTTAATAGGTAGTTAGTCAACAGTTAAACTGAAGTGATTATGTTAGACCTGAAGTGGATATTTCTGGAGGATGCTTAGCATCTCACAGAATTAAGCCAACAATTAGCTATCATTTGGTATTTCCAGAATTTGCCATATGGTGTGTTATTCTTGTCCTGTATCTTTTCTGTACATAAGTCTCTTTTGAAGTCATTGTCTTTGTGTCATGCAGGGCATAAAATCATATTTTATAATTAAATCACTATCTAGCAAAATCAGGATTACTTTATAGGCAGATTATGAACATCTTGGCCAATGTAGATGTGAAGTGAGTCGATGCCAGTGGATTCGTGCCACATTCACATGTGAGAATTATTTTTATTTTATGACATTAGGGCAGTGTTTACTCATAAACCAATGTCTGGCATTTCTCTAATTTAGTCAGCATTGGTCACATGCTAGCTGGGCCACAGTCCTTCGTCAGACTGCCTGCATGCTTTAACAGTGGCACCTATTGTGCTTGCCTGAATTCAGTGATCTAGGGTAGGATAGACTTCGTCTAGCCTTAAAAAATTTATTTAATGTTATGTAGATGCCAGAATAACTGAATATGGCCCACAATAAATAAATAGCCTACATAATTAAAATGTCTCAGTATATACTTTTAGTTTTGAAAAATGTTGACGTCCCCTCACAAATCAAAATCAGGATGGGGAAGACTGAAGTGCAAGTGTTTCCAGTGTGCGTGTTAGAGCAGCAGAATTAACATTTTGGGGAGTGCTGTGTTTGCATTTTGAGCAACACTTGGCCTGTGTTGCTGGATCTAAGAAGTCTTACCTTACACCTGTAACCTTACTGGAACTACAGTGTCATGTAACAAACTGCAGTTATCCAGATCACTGATATTTTTGACATTGGTGATTTATAAGAAAATATTTTTTAACTCTCAGTAGAAGAGTTTGAAATACCTGTATTTATTTACACTATACAGTTTTGCATACAAATAAAGCATAAAAAATAATACTCATCCAACAATCTTTTCCATCAAACTCTGGACATGGTTCTGATCCAGAGTCAATTTCTATCCATGGAAGGACACCCTCTGACTTTGGATTAGACCCTACAGCTTCCAGAGTTCTTATAATTGAGTTGGAATGTCCCAGAATTTCTTCCTGGAAAACCCTGAATTTGCTTTTACCATTTTTTTGTAGAAGAGACAAACAGATACAGTACAAATGCATTTAAGGACAAGAAAACAAGTAGCAGGAAAATTGTTTCACCCCCTCTTGCCTACTTCTGCTCTTCTGAAAAGCAAAATCCTTTTCTCAGTGTTAACCTTGGATACGCAATTTTCTTTGAATGGGTCGCAAGAGGTTATCACTGAGGTTTTGAGGGGGAGAACAATACATGTATGAGAGGAGAACAAGGATGCAGCAAACTGAGAGAGACATATAAGCGTTCAGAGGAGAGACACTGGTGTGGTAGGGAGTTGGAGCAAATGGGGTGGGGGAAGTCTTGTCGATAGGAACTGGCTGTGTTTGGGAACTTACCCACTGTGCAGAATTTCTTGAAGTCAGGGCAGCACTCCATGTAGTGTTGACAGTTAAAATCACAGTGGCAGTCATGCTCTCTAGAATACCCTTCCCCACATCTCCCTGTACAGCTTGATAAATCTAAAATCACACAACACTGGTGTAAACATTGCCAAACCAAAATGGTATATAAGGAAATGCTGAATGGCAAAGTAGTGAGATTTATCTTTTTTTTTTTTTTTTTTTCCCTACAGAATGCCATTTTTTCACTCATTATTGCAGAAACTGTGGGCCCAGTGAAACCCCTCCTGAAGGTCTGCGGATCAGAGGTTTGCTCTGAGCCAGCCAGAGGACTAGCAGCAGCACCCGCTCAAATTAGAGGGGTGTTCTGCTGAGGCTAAAGTAGCCTGTTTCTCCTGAATATTAATGAAGCTCTGAGGCCTGATTCAGAAGTACAACCACAGCAGTTATGGCATTCAAACTAGCCCGTGCAGATTTAACTTAGGCAGTATGTCAGCCAGGTACTATATTGTTTTGCAGATTTATTCTCCATCTTAATTCACCCTACATATGGTTATAGATGTGCATCTGCACAACTGTACCTGACAGACCCATTAGGTCTGTCTGATTTTTACTTTTGGTGATGTTCTTCATAATAACCAAATAAAATCAGTTTAATTTGCAAACTGGTGAGCACTGTCATAATGAATACAGGTCCCTGGAGCCATTTTTATTGGAAGTTTTCAAAATCTGCCTGCTGTCTACATTATTTTTTTCCCTGAGGTCAGAGAGGAATTTAGTATCAAATATGAGACTAGGAACAGTTGGGATCTAGTCCTGAAATCTTCTATAAAGTACATTCTGTTTACTAATTAGGAGATTACTTATTAGCAGACTAACATAAAAGCTCATCCCACAATGGCTTTACTGCTAAACTGCTGTAGCATTGGAAAATGCTAGATAATAATAAATGCTGCAGATTACAGGTGGTAAGCAAGACATTGGGAGGTCTGCTTTCAAACTGCAAGCATTCAAGCTTGGCAGCGGTTAACTTCTACTCCCAGATCAGATATTCACCCTGCAACAATTCTCCTTCCTATGTGAAATCTCTACTAATGTAACACGCTAACAGCTTCTTCGGGAAATGAAACATGTAGGACCACAAGTGAAGCATCCCTAAATACAAACAAAGAAGCTGAACAATCAGCAAGCTAAAACAGAGTTAAGATAATCAGCTGAAACATTGAGCAACAACAAGAAAATAACAAGAAATAACATGTAACACAACACAACAGCAAAGACAATTTCTAACAGCACACACTCCATGTGTGTGTGTATGAAGGAAGACCCTGGGATAACAAATAATTACATATATTGTGATTTTCAGCAGGTAGGTATAGTGTTTGTTACCACTTCTTTACAAATAATGAAGCGGGACAAGGGAATAAATGGAGAAGTTAATGGACCTAAGTTAATGGACTCTTAATACTGGAGTTGAAAAGATAAATTAACATCTTCCTTTATGGATACGTGCCCAATATATTGCATCCATCTTATGGGAAGAAAATAAGTCCAAAAAGTAACATTTTTCATTCATTTATTTGTTTAAAGTTTATGACTTGTAGGTTAAGAAGTTATTTCTAAGGAAAATTCCTAAACTATTCGAGTTGTTGTTGGTAAGAGTCTTGACTTTTGCTGGAAATAGTGGGAAGGCTTTCAGCAGCTCTAGAGAGTGCAGTGCCAGGCTGCTCTGCCCTGTAGGTCAAACCTGACATCTGCTGTGCCCCGATGAGCCGCTCAGAAATGCAAGTGTTATGTCTTCTACTGTCAAATAGTAATGAATTGTTTTCTACCAGCAAGTGAAACACAATGTTATCACTATAACAATTTAATAGCACAAGACTTGCCAGGCTGCAAGTTCTTCAGTTTCTTCATCACCGTGCTACTTTAGTTAGAAATCTATTACAGAGCTTTGAGAGTAAATAAAAATCTATAGTATTAGACAAATAATTCCCTTGGTACTGGTAATGACAGTGCATTTAATGGCAGAGCACTTATCACAGTACAGACATTCCTTTCCCCAAGCATATTGTGTATAAATATTTCTAACCAAATTATGTGGATATTGTAATTTTAGTTTCTTCCTTGAATCATACTGCAAATCACTAAGGTTAAATATGTCAGCCTGAGGGCAACAGGATCTGTAGAATATGTCTACAGAAAAAGTACTTTCACAGGTATTTTGCATTATATTCATATTTATATATTATTCCTCAAAAAAGAGGATCATGCTGTACTAAAAAATATTTATGAAGATATTAATTGATGATAAAACTGAATCATAATGCCTGTCTGAATAAATATAAAGTTCTAGAACTTGGTATTTTTATGAAGATGCATTTGAAGCATTCTTAGTATTTGTCAGCTATCCTAGACACCCTCCCTTCGTCTTTATCTGTTACAGTACCTGCAGAAGACACTTCTTGAACCAAGGACAGTGAAAGGATCACCAGGGATATGCAAAGTGTGTTCCTTATGATCATTACTTTCAGATACGACATCATCCCTAAAAAGAAATAATCTCACATCACTACAGGCAATTCAATTAAGCAGTTCATAATTTCAAAAAAATTGCAGTGTATAGCTTTATACATAATACTAGTTTAATAACATAAAATTAATACTAAAATTATTCAAGGACAAATTTTTAATTTAGAATTGCTTCATAAATTCTTTCTTGGCTTTTAGTTGATTAGCTGTTAAATTTTGTAGTAAGAGTAAGAAATTTCGTTATTAACAAATAACTGAAGTAATTTTTTGCAGAATCTATTATGTGAAAACTACAGTCACAGTCTTTTCTTTTTAACATGGATGCACTTCAGTACAACAGTTTCTAAGGTTATAATACTTATAAATGTAAAGTAAAAAAAAAAATACTGTCAAAACATTAGTTTTTAAACAACATAATTTTATAAACCATAATCTATCATTGAAATATTAATGTTTAAATATGTCAAATGGAAATGTAGGATAAAAATAAATCTTCTTTCAAAAGGAAAACTTATCTGGGTTTTCTGTTCCAGTTCATAATTTTCCTTTTGAAGAACAGCACTTTGATCAAAATGCTCTGAGTAGAGATAGGTACAACACTTACCTAATAAAGAATATGTCTGCTCTCAGGGATGTTTCAGATGCCTTATATATTGCTTTGTAACTATGCTGGGGTTAACTAATTAGACAGCTTGTTAAACAAAACCGCCAATGACAGCTTATGACAGCAAACTTTCCACATGAGTTGGGAGAGATCCCAGATGACTAGACTAACACAACATCTGGAAAATACTCCCATTAAGAAAAATGATTACAGAAAAAACTAAATAGGGACTTACTAGTCAAAACACATTTTGATTACTGAGTGAAATGAACAAATTGTCCTGAATGCATCTGGAAGTCATTAGATATTATTGCATAGCAATAAAAAAATCATTATAGGCAAATGCTGAATATTTTTCTTTCTTGTCAAATGTAGCTTAGGTGACAGTAGCCTAAAATTATGCAGTATTATCTGCTACTGATGGTGTATCTTCTCCCAAAAGTTTTGAGATCTGATTCATACAGTCATAAGTAATTCACCAGTTCTGCACTGAATATATAGTAGTTTTCCCTGAAATTAATGGAAATTGTGCCAAGGTATTGGCTAGAAAGCAAAGAATTTAGTCAAATCACAAATGTACTAAATATATTATACGTAAAGCATCAAAAAAGAATGAGAGACCTAAATTGTTTCAATGGTCTTCATGTTTATTGGTTTCAGATTCAGGATACTGGAAATGGTTATTTGTAACTCTCAGAGCTAAAGGAGGTTCCCACTGAAACTTTTAATGGTCCTGACTCTCAGGGTTTGGGAAGGATTTTTTATTCAGAAACTATCCTGAAGGCCAGGGAATTCTGATACTTCCATCTTGTGATATTAATTGAATCCCAAAGTAATTCTGTTATCCCAAAATAAAAAAAAAAAATGGTATAATATGCATTGTTCCCAACTGAGGAAAGCACTTAAAATGATCTTGAGTCTCTTAAGGAAAATAATGTAGACACGTCTGAAAAGGAGCAGGTTTAGACATGTGCTTGAATTTTTTCCTCACTTAGTTCAATGGTTATGCAGCTTTAGTATTTTTATGCTAGGGTTTCTTTCTAATTTCTGTATTGTGACCATAGAGGCAGTTTCATTCAATCTTTCTGCATTATGGATGCTTCTAATTGCTTTCATATCACACCCACCCTTCAATTAATTGATTCCAGTCAATGAAAGTGGTTTTTTTTCATTGCTCTAGGAACACATATAATATTGCAGAGGCTTATAGAGCTATTTAGACAAGTGTTAAGTGGGAGCACTTACATAGTGTTGATTTGCTGTTCAAGGTTCTCTGCCCACTGCCAACCTACTTATCAGGTAGTTATTACTCTACTTTGTGGAAAAGGGCACTCGAGGCTCTGAGGTTTTTATGGAGTTTATTTGAAGCAATGCACAGAAGGAAATATATATTACCTGTTTTACAACAAGAACTTCAGTTCTGTCTTTAGTGGAGCCGAGTATAAGCTTGATAAAGAAACTCTCTGGTTTGAGAAGAAAGGTACCTGTGTATGGATATTTAAAGCCTAGGGAAAAAGTAGTTATTAGGGTAGATAAAGAGGATCAGCATGATGAGACAGGTTTTCTAGAAAAGTACTAAAATCCTCATAACTTAAATAATTTACAATTTGATCAAGCAAAACATTTACTGAGTACTTCATTGAATTCATATCCGTGATATGGAGGAGGCTTGTTGACTCTTCCATCGTTTCATATCCAGTACAGCTGTGCGTTCCAGTTAATACTGACTAGCTACCTAGCCAGTGGAAAAATATTTACATAAAGTAGTAAATAAAAAGTAACAGAAGATCAAAATTATTATCATGCTTCTATTAACATGCCAGTATTCAATTAAGTCATATGAAGACAATTAGGTACATACACAACTTGAAAATACGGGTAGTCATGATTGGCTGCTACATTTATTATGTGTTAAAGCTATGTTCATTTTGGTAGGGTTATATTGTTTCATTTCTCTTATGAATTAAGTTTTTGGATCATCAGAGGTGACATGAAGTTGCGAAGTTTGAATGATGATAATAATTCCATCAGTGTATTGGCAGGATGTAAAAGGCACTTTGAGACACCGTTAAACTGTAGTGTCTCAGTTGCATTGAAGTACAGGCACTTCGCAGTGAGTGATTAGACAGCAGTGGGGTGGGGTTTGTATCCTGACCAGCTTCTGCTCTTCCCTTTATTTTCAGAGCTGGACTTTGAAATCCTGCTTGAAATTCTTGTTATGATTTCTGGGAGGAGGTAAGAAATATGCTCAAATATGGACACAGCCAGGGCACTCATGATGGGCAGAATTTACTTGCTATTGTTATGCAAAGGTTTGTGTGCCAGTGAAAAGGGCCATAAGAGTAACAGTGAAACAGCAAGCAAGGAGCTGCGTGGGTAGGGGAGGGTGAAGTGGGGACACATCTCAATCATTTTTAGGTTGAGCTCCATCTGAAATGGGCTTGGAGGTATGAAAAAAAGGGAAAGTACAAAATGTTTCATTTCCTTATTTTCATTTCTACTGCATTTAGGGAAACAGGACTCGTATTCCTGATGAGTAAATAAAAATACATGGCCTCACCACCATTTTTCTTCATCTTGGAGCAATGTATGGGACCTAATACTGTGGTTAGCCACTCCAATTGGAAAGAGATAACATTATTTTTTATCTGATACATCATTGCTTCAGTTAGATAGCAACTGGCAAGGGTTTCAGGCAGTGTAAACCCTTCACTGAGTCTTGTCATGTGTATCCAAAACCTCACCTGTATTTTCTGACTTCATTAGTTGATTGTAATTTTTAAAAAAAGGAAAAAAAAAAAAAAAGGCCTTTCCTACAAACCCTGCTTTGCTTATATACTGAGATCATCACAGTTACAGCACTATTGTTGTTATCTTTTATTTATGGATTAATGGATTCCTTATGTCAATGCCCATGACTCAGATGTATTCTTATGCCTTTTCAGGTCTTGGCTTTTTCAGACGCTCATCAAACAGTCACATTTATGATAGTGGTTTTGGGATGTGTTCATGGAGATCACATGGAAAATGTAAGCCAGTGAAATCCAAGAAAACAGTTTTTGTTTTAATCTGGGTCTGATCTGACAGATGCCCTACTGCTTTTTCAGTCCCATCATTGATCCCCATTGTTAACCCATCAGTATCCTCAAATTATCATGTAATTTTCATATAAAAACTAAGTTACATCTGAAGTGATTTGAATCCTTGTGAGAATTCAGTTGACTGTAAGAGCAGCTGGGGTGTCTCAGCAAAAGTTATATAGAGAAACTGAGCTGAGTGAGAGTGAAGAAAGTGAACAGAAAACAAAAGAACATGTATTTAGAATAGTATTGCTCTGCTACACACTCACCAATTAGTGTACCTAGAAGAAATCATAGAAGGAATTTAATTGAAAGGTAAGTAACAGTGTTGGAAGTCTCATTAAATGAGTTGCTAATAAAAATTATGAAAAAACACAGAAAACTTTTGCTCTTGCAGGAGGGACTGGCAGACTTTCAGTCTTATGGTCTTGGCAGAGCAAGGAAGGAGAATGACGTAGAGGAGGTAAAAGGAATACAGGAAGGGCATGGGATTACAATGAATTCTTTTGGGACATCTGATAAGTGATCGAAGGACACTTCCCTCTATTGCCTTCCACAATCAATCACTTTCTTCCATGCCAGAACTGGCTACTTTTTATTGGCATATTTTATTTGATTATAGCAAAAAAAAAAGTTAACTTTGAAGAACACTTAAATATGCTGACTTTTAAAACACGAATATTAATACCATTGCTTTTCTGTAATTTATGAGTAGTATGGGTAGCAGTAGTATTGCAATTAATTCTTTTGTAACAAGCTGCTGTAATAAGGGTTAGATGGTCACATGCATCATCCAGTTGATGTAAATACAGACTTACTGCTTTTCCAATTCCTAAAAAGCTGAGAAAATTGTTTAAAAGTAAGTAGAGGGAAAGATATGACTTAGAAATTATTTGTCTTCACGGAGATAAGAGATAAGCCCATACTAATAGGTGGGAGATGAAAGACAGAATCTGTTTGTGTTTTTATAGTACTACCAAAATCAGTAAGGGAAATATTTTTATTCCAGAAAAGCCTTTAAACTCAGTACAGCTGCAGATGTTACTCTTCCTCTGAAGTGCTGGACCTAAGACCATCACTTTATAGCTATCACAGTAATTCTCAGTGTGTCCTAACAATTTCCCAGAGGTAGAGCATGGACTTATTTGAACTAGGCTGGAATCTCATTTTGTGTTGAATGAGTGCTCTGATTCATACAACAGGGCAGAATTTTAGTGACAGAAAGTTACAGGGGAAAATCTTTCGTAGAATGTCTGGCAGAAATATTCATTTTTTCTTTCTTTCCCAGTATAGAGTCTAGTGAAATATTTATAGATTTGGATCCAGA